TGGTTTTTTTAATGTTGTTTAGCCAGAGGTTGCATACATTTTAAATACAGCTGATTTTGTAAACAACTATTAAAATTCAGTTTAAATCTCCCTCAGGGGACAAAGTGACAAGTTTCACAAACAGAAAAGTAAGTTTTCATAGACCCACCTCACTGGAAGCTACTGCAATCTAACTGCATTACAGCTAGTAGAAGTACTAACAGAAAACTCTTCCTACTTCTTGCCAGGGGCTTGACCAACATAAGACTATAAATATTCCTCAGATCCCCACACTCATGAGTGCTAGCTGTAAATGAAGGAGCAGAATTTGCCAGAGGGGCTGAATTCTACCTAAAAATCCAAACCTTAAGAACTCTCAGGTATAAACTGATTATTTCCCTGAAGGGGAAAAGTACCCCAGATTTTCAATAATGAGAAAACAGAGCTGAAAGGGGCATTGTCTTTTTCCAGATGGAGCGAGTCAGGTGCAGATTCAATGAATTCAACACAGTTATATTGATTTTCTCCACTTAACACTCTTGCTTGTAATAGGGCTATTGTCTCCCTTGTACTATATAAACATACAGATGCACATATATATTTTATCTGAAGATGGACACCATATGCTAAAATAAACAAATACTTATTACACCACAGAAAGTTTGAAAAACAACATTTAAAAAATGGGAAAAGAGAAACAGTATACTGTAACATTGGTCAAGACTATCAACCAGCACTAAGCTGTCTCGCAGATTACAGAAAACAAAGACATTTGATAAATCTTTATATTACTGAGGTTGCCCAAGCTTCACCTTTTCACCAGAATGCCTATCAAACTGACACCCTAACAAAGGTGCAAGATACTGAGTACAAACACTGACACTCTGAAACTGTTGTCTTGTTATCATTTTGAATGATTGTGACGGGCTCCCCCCAACTCCAAGACAAAAGAACAAAGATCAGTTTCATCTGCGAGACTGCTGTCGGGAAGAACAGCAGTGAGTGTAAAACCATAAGGAGCAATAGCATTAGCTCATCTTTTCTCCTTAATACAGCAGCAAACAATTAGTGTTAAAGTAAAATGGGTCAATCAAGACCTCAAATCTTCTTAACAGCTAGCATAGTCAACCCATGTGGCCACAGCAATCCAAATTAACCCCATAGATACATCGGTCCTTTCCCTCCAATACCTAGAAAGCAATTACAAATGTCACATTGAATCTCCTCAAACACCCTCCTATAGTTTCGTAGCGTAACCTGTGATTAAACCTACCCATGAAATAAAAGCTTTTCCGTCTACTGAGGCAGACAGCTTAAGAAACCACCTCTGTTTCCAGCACCAATCCTCTAAATCACCTCCAACCTACAGAAATCAGTCTCATGCTGTTTTTTCTTATTAGCTGAGAGGCACTACAGAACTGCTGCTAATCAGCACACCTGTACACGAAGCAAAAGAACACAAGAAAAAGCAGCAGCTCTAAACATGCCAAGACCCACCCATACTCTCCTTTAGTGTGTGCATATGTGTCTGGGAAGAAATAAGCAATGCAGTGATTTCACAGAACATCGTTCATTTCCATGCTTTCTCTGGAGGTACTCAGCACCACCAAACATCATCAAGGGTTTTCCATCACTGAGCCAACATACCGTTAATCTACACTCTTTTCAGTTAAAAATGCTTAACTTTCAAGCACGCTTAAGGCTCGTTTTCAAGGGCAATTAAGCATGTGTTTAAACTACTGAATAAATCCAGATGGACCAAAACAAGCATCTTTGAGTCTTAGGGAATATATCAGCCCATGCTTGATATTATTTCTTCATCAAGTACACGCATGGACCTTAAGGCAGCACACAAACAAAATATCCAGATTGTGAGATAATTCAGTTTAGAAGGGACCTGGGAAGTCACCTAGTCCTAGAACCCCAGGATACTACACCTTTCCAAAGTTCTGGCCGTTCACATGCATTTTAACTGCAATAGTCTTTGATTGCTTTCTAGGCAAGGCTTCAATTCAGCAACAAATGTCCTGCAGGCAGGAGTTCTGCAGGTTCCCCTTCAGGGAATCCCAATAAAGCCAAAGGGTTGTTTTTTTTTCTTTCCCTGTGAGTCAGAGGTTATACCAGATCAGTTCTCAGCACAATCACTGCCTGTGCTGTAAGTGAAAGATCTGTAAGAAACTCAGGCCTTTGGATTGACCCACCATTTATAGCGAAGAACTACTACTGGAGCTTCCTCCCACCTCCCTTTCTTAAGCTAATTGTCATTTGTCCCATCATGGTAGATCAGATTTCAGATCTCATAGATGCTCCAGCTGTATTGCAAGTTCTGTCAGTACTCTGTGACTTTGTAGAGCTTGCAGCAATAGAGAGGTAACTTTCTGAAAGCCATCATCATAAAGTCCTCACAACCTAAATTCTTTTTGACTTCTCCCTCTTCTCACCCCTTTAAGAAAACAAACCTCCCTCTAACACATGTGTATAACATGTCACATTTGGGGGTGACCGCTGAAATAGTCCAGCAGAGTCTGCAATGGGCCTTACCCACCCATTTCTGTGATTAGACATTTCTAGCAATTTCCACAGCTCAGACAACTGTTTAGTGAGCAAGGGACCGGGGCTAAAGGGGCCACAGCCTGCTCTAGTGTTAGCACACATGGCAAACGTTTCCCACCATGAGTGCAGGTATATCGTTTAGCAAACGATAACTCATACCGAGAGCAGCATGACACAGGCTGAAAGAAAAGGTATGCTTCTGGAAAAACATCTAGCAACAAAGGAATTCTTAACCCAGACTGCAGCGATTCATTTCGGGACTACTGCGATCAGATCACTCATGTCTAGGCACAGCACCTCAGGGGTCATTAAATGATGACTTTTTCTTTATTGTCAGAAAGTATTTAAAGACCACAGCTAAGTGAGTACTGACATAACACACCGTAACAATTACATCAGCTCTCTAAATCAAGGGTGCAAACGGCGCTTTATGTAACAAACTGCATTATAAGCACAATGAACTGCCCTCTGTGCTCTAAGCATGCTAAAATTCTCCACAGAAGAACAGCAACTTTTTATTCTCAGGATGACAGCTCTTTGGCTTCTTTCAAGCACCCCCAGGCAATGCGCAATATGGGTGCAACAAATTGTAAAGTTCCGTTAACCAAATCCTGTCCCTTGGGTAAAAGATGAGAAGAGCTAGAACTTACGCCAGTGCATTTCACTGTTCAAACCACCCCTCTTCCCAGAGCCCTGCTGTACAAGGGCTCACCTGTGTGTTTCATTTTGATACTGAACAGTCTCACTAAGCCACTGCGGTTATTTTCAATGTGTTAGTTTAGCTCTACCTGTGAACACCTGAGCTCCAGGAGAGCAGCACCATATTAAGACTGGGGTCCTGCCCACTGCTGAGTGCATTGTGAGTGTTCTGCAACTAGGTGAAATGAAATAGGCAGCAAGGAATTCAGCGGTTCCTAGACCTAGGTGCTACAAGGGTGAGCTTGGCCTTCATATTACATATCACACTTTCAGAACATCAGCAGCAGAAATACACACCCATCCACAAACTTAACAGAACTGTCTCCATGCTAACTGACAAAGAGTCACCACATGCAGGGAAGGTGCCCATTCTCTCATTGCTGGTGAATCACTTCTTTAGTGATCAACAAAGTAATGGCAGGGGCAACTTCTCTAGGTAATGCTCTCTCAGCACATCATCTCCCTCTTCCCAGCAAGGGCTGGGATGCTGCGATCACGTCATCCAGTTGGGAGGGAAGCAAGAGAAGCTATAGAAAATAAATACATCCTGCAGCTGAGCCTCTTGTTGGGTGCATTGGCTATGAGATCTGTCTAGACATCCCTGCAAGTCTAAACCAGCACAGGTGAAATGAAACAGGTTCTTTCACAGACAGAAAACAAAGATTTGGGGAGGAAATGGGAAGAATCAGAAGAGAAAGGATATGTGCGTCAATCTCGCAAGGAAGAACCCTTCTGAAAACAAAAGGGACAGGTTTCTGAACTGTGCGCAGCGCAAATGCTGGACAGCAAATGATTGTTTTGGAGAAAGGAAGGGGAAAGATTTATTGACAAAACCACAAAGACATGAAATTATAAAAACGGATGCTAGAGAGCTAGAATAAGACTTAGGAAATACAGAGGTATACACCCCATTCTACTGCAGGATTTTATGTTAATGACCACTTATATGTGAAAGCCAGCTGTTTCATATCAGGAAAAAGCCTACATGAAAATCCACCAACAAATCAGAGAGTATCTTTATTCAGAGGAAAACTGAAAGTTCATGCTTAGCACGGGCAAATAAACGTCGGTATCTTTCTATTACCGAAAGCAACTCTTCCGGCATGCGGCACACTGCCTTCTTTCCCCAAAGGTGTTTCATAAAGCGCACCTCACTCGAACGGCAGGTGACAATTAGCGTCTCAAACACATCATACACCACAAATTGAGGCAAGCAGTCTTTTTATTTGGGTAGCTCGCGTTTGGCGCAACACTCCGGCACCGCAGAGCTGCACCGGCTCACGGCTCCTACCTGCAGCAGTTCAAGCGAGGCACACACTTTGCATAATTTTTCTCTTACATAAAAAGGCTTTGTTCTCCGCCGCCTCGCTGCGGTTACCAGCCTCCCCGCACACGGTTGTTTCCTTTTCCGCGGCTGATCCATTCAATACAGGGAATGATTATTTTCTCTTTTTTTTTTTTTTTTTTATAATGCCATCATCCCCTCTCAGCATGCCCCTTTATATAAGTTGAAGCTGTTTTTTCACCTTCACAATTGCAATTTACAAAGAGAAAAAAGTGTATGGTAGAACTCTCCTATCTAATGTTTAAATTCAAACTTTTCCTATGAAATTCCTTTTTTATTTTTTGGCAGAAAAGCTTCAGATGTTGTTTTTTTTTTTTTTTTTTTCCTCCTCTCCCCCTCCCCTCCCCGATGCAAATTAAAAGCGCTTACAACCATCGCCCCCCCTCTACCCCCCTTGCCTGACACAACGTTCTTTGTTCAGCCTCACAGATCCCTTCAGAGGAGCTTAGGGGTGGGGGCAGGAGAGGACAGAAGGTTACATCCTTTTAGAGGGTTTTACAGCCCGGAGAGATGCTCGGAACCCTCGAAGGCAGCCGGCAGAAGCCGACTGCTCCCCACGAAGGTAAAAAAAGCAGGCGTTTATCGGGGAGCCGCCCCCAACAACCTCCCCTCTTTCCCTTTACCTCCGGCAGCTCCGCAAGGGGCGACCCGCTGCGAACTCCGGCCCGGCTTCGCCTTCTGTCAGAGCTCGCGCCCCGCCTGAGGGAGCACGCGCAGGGGCCAGCCTCGCGCCCCCAACGGCCGCCAAACGGCCGGCGCGCGGCCACCCCTTCAGAGGGGCGCCGGTCCCCCCCCCTCACACACACACACACACACCCCGCTTCGTCCTTCCTTCTCCTCTTCTTCTTCCGACGGGGCACTCCCCGCCCCGGGCTGCGGAGCCGCCGCTGCCCCTCTCGCTCGCCCGCCCGCAATGGAGGGGGCGGCGGCGGCGGGCTCGGGGGGAGTTCTTACCTGAGCGCCGCGGCGGCTGCCAGCACCGGGACGCACCGCCGCGCCGAGGGGCAAAGATGAGGGCGCGCCGCCGCCGCCGTGCCCGCCTCAGCCCGCCTCGCCGCTCTTCGGGGCTGT